ATCCGAGCCCGTGCGTGGACCTGCCGCAATCGTCGTCTTCCCCAGAGTCGACGCCGTCGACGCCATCGCCAGCGACCTTCGCCTCGCCGCCGACCGTGTCGACCGACGAGTACGCCGCTTTGCTGAAGACGATGTACGCGCAGGGCCTCCACCACCCATGAAAAAATGCCCCATGTTTCGAACATGTACTTGTGAAATTTTAAACACGTTTTAAATGTATTTCAAATTGCATCCTCGTTGTCATGGAAACACACTGATCTTGTCGACAAAGGAAAAGAGAAACGAGAAAGAGAAATTGTATTTGGCGAACGGTTCGTCGTGTTGTTGGTGGAGAGAAGCCTTCACGCCAAGTGGGCACCCCGTGTCGAGTCTTCCTTCTCGTACCAAGTCTAAAGAGGTTGCCAAGCTGCTCTCATCATGGGCTGCGGCGCCAGCCAGCCCGGATCTCCCGAACCTCAAGGTACTCTCTTCTGTTCTTCAAATCGAACAAAAAAAATTAAAAAAATTAAAAAAATAATCTTGCTTTCCGTTCTCTTTTCAAATAAATTAAACCAAAATAAGGAATAAATACATCTAAAAATTTAAATATAATTTCGTAATTTTATTTCTAACTTACTTCGTACGTACTTCGAACAGAGGAGCACCAGCCGCTGCTACACGACCGAAGGCCCGGCGGAGGCGACCACCAGCGATGGCGCGCCGAGGCCCAGCGCTCGCCCTCGTCCCTCCCGCGCAGCGACAGCGGCCCACCGCCAGCCTCGCCGCAGCGTCGCGAGAAGAAGACCCGCGTCTCGCCCCGCTCGACCCACCACAACAACGTCAACGGCACCGTCGGCGCCGACCTAACGACAGAGCAGATGGCGCTGGCCATCGCCGTGGCCGCGCTCAACAGAGAACGCGCCGGCGCCGGCGGCGTTGGTGAGGCGGAGGAGCGGCGGGCGCGGGCGCTTGCGGCGGCGATGGTGGCGTGGGCCGAGGGTCAGGCGGCGCAGCTGATGACGCCGGCGGCGGCGGACGACGGACGCGAGGTGGGGCGGCCGCCGCGGCACAACTTCTGCTTCAAGTGCGGCGCGGCCCTGCACTCGGCCGCCACCTTCTGCGCCGACTGCGGCGTCAAGCTCCCGCGCGAGGGCGACACCGAGGTGCCGGCCGCACTCTCTCGTCCACCGCACGCACGCACACACGCAACTCACGCGTGCGTGTGTCGTGTCGTGTCGTGTGCGGTGTGCGCGTTGTGTGTCGTGTCGTGTCGTGTGTGCGGTGTGTGCGGTGTGTGCAGTCGTGGCGTGAGCGCGAGGCGAGGCTGAAGCGGGAGCGCGACGAGAAGGAGCGGAAGGAGGAGGAGGACCGCAGGCGCCGCGCCGTGTCCGAGTTCAACAGCGCCGGCTCCAA